CTGTAGAATTTTTGAATGTTAGTGTTTGCTCTATTTATGATGTTGGCATATAGTGCACAAATCCTTGGCATCAAGATGAGAACAAACGATTCACCTAGGGATTTGCTCAGGACATTGTGTGTGGACCCTACAAATGAATCAAAGGCCCACAAGAAATAAACAAGGTTACATGTGAGACCCATGAGAAAAACAATTTGCTTCTTTTTAAATTGATTTTTTTTTTTACAGAGAGGAAGAGAGAGGGATAGAGAGTTAGAAACGTTGATGAGAGAGAAATATTGATCAGCTGCCTCCTACACACTCTCACTAGGGATGTATTGCAACCAAAGTACACGCCCTTGACTGGAATCGAACCTGGGACCCTTCAGTCCGCAGGCGACACTCTATCCACTGAGCCAAAAAACAGTTAGGGCTCTGCTTCTCTTTTTAAAAAGGCCACCAGGACTCACTACTCCAGCATTTTTCAACCGCTGTTCCGCGGCACATGTTGCCTGGTGTGCCGTAGGTGCAGATAAGACAAGAATTTTATAATTTTTCACTATTTTGTTTACTTAATATTTCATAATAAAGTAATTATAAAATACCTTCTTTGTGTTTATTTGATTCCTATTCAAGAGAATTACTTTATATATAGTCAATATAGGCACAGAGTTAAATTTTTTAACATTTTATAATGGTGGTGTGCCTCGTGATTTTTTTCATGAAACAAGTGTGCCTTTGCCCAAAAAAGGTTGAAAAACACTGCACTACTCAATGTGCACGTACCCTTATAATATCAGTAGTGGACTCAAGGGAAAGAGAATGAGGATGATGCAGTCATGAGAAGGAAGTTTGCCTAACACTTTCTAAAGTGTTACCTGGGGGAAATGTTTTGAGATCTCATAACGCCTATACATGATTCCAGTGGATGATAGGAAGAATGGTTTTGCAGGCCAGGCTGGCTTCTGTAGTAACTACATTTACTCAGGGGACAAACTTACCGCTAATCAAAGAGCACTTTGGTCCCCCCTGAGGTGCCCAGTCCTCATGGCCTATGGTCTGGTCAATAGAGCAGGGATACTGGGATTGAAGAGGAGATGTATGTCCTGTTAATTATATCACAAAGGCATGACCTTTGTGGTCCCAAACAGCAATTCTCATTTTCTGATAGGCTATATAATTTATCTATTTTTTACGGTACATCTCTTTCACTGAATATACATTTCATGAAGCAGGGAGCTTTCTTTTGTCTTCTGTTGTATCCTCCATGCCTGGCAGCTCGTTCAAGAATGGCTTCTATCAATAATGGAGTAAGGAGAAAGGGAGAAGGTCTGAAAAGATAGATTCTTGGCTCAACACAGAGACCTTGCTAATCATGTGTACTGTCTACAGGCTGAGTGGCCTTCTCCAGGGAGTGGGTCTTCTCTGGAGCTCGACAACGCTGGGGACTGTTGGCTAAGACTGCTTTGAGATGACACCTTAGAGGTCTTCCAGCTGACTTCCAGCCCTGTGGTTCTAAAGATGGAGCTTTGCCAAAGAACTTACAGTGGAGGGAACTCAGGACAGTCCCCCTGTATTGTTAATTGACCTTGGGGTGAGGAGTCAGGGATGGCACTGAGCCGAGACTCCCAGCCTGGGGATATGGGTGCCATTGCAGGAAATGCTGAAGTTCAATAGAAATGTTGGCTTGTGGGAAAACTATAAGCAATAATGAGAAGCTTTGGGTTTAATGTGTTAGTGTGACACACAGGAGACATCCAGAAGATGGTTACATTCAAGCAAATATGGAGCACTGGAGAGGCTAAGGTAGGTCATGCCCATTTGTTAGAAAAAGCCACATTCTTCTCTACAGGAAGGCAACTCATAATGATGTTAGAAGGTATCATAGGTGAACAGCACAAGTAGCAATACAGTTTCATGTAATTATGTAAAATGTAGGCATCGTAATATCATTTCTCAGGAAAGAAAACAGTCACAGAGTGCTTATAAAGGGCAGAGCATGAACTTAAATCCCAGTCTTCAGAGTTCTGCTTCAGAGAGCTGCGAGTCACTAGTCTGTGACTCCTCCTGACCATGGCACTGACTAGCTGGCCGCTCATTGGCAGCAAGAGCACCCACCATTTGTCCTTGACCTCAGCTGTTGACCCCTCCACCCCACCCCCAATTCCAGTTCCAGTGCTTATCACCTGCTACCAGGGAGCCTCACAATAAAACTGCAGATGAATGAGGGTTGCACCAGGAAGCTTTCTTGGATGGCTAATACTACCTCTCCCCAGTGCCATGGGCTTTTCCTGTTTCTTCCCTCTGGTGGTGATGTTCCCTGTGAGAGCAGCTAATGGTTAGTCAGGTGCAGTGGCCTGGGAGCTGCGAGGAAATGAGCTCAACAGGGAACCACAAATAGGATGTTAGAGTGAAGTGGGAAGGTGGAGTGGAGGGAATTTGGACAGGTAGCTGAGGAAGCATTGGGGAGCATGAACACAACACGGGGCTGTTGTATGGATGCAGTTTCAGGGGGGGCATCTGCCCTGCAGCAACATGGCAGCATCCCTTTTTTTGCTCCGGATTTCAGCCTGGAATGAAGGAGGGAAAGACCACAGGAATAATGGGGGGCAGGGGGAGAAAGATAATGAACTAGAAGTGCTTTGGAGAAGTCATTTTCTGTCTCACACAGCTGACGGCAGCACCTGCTCTATAAGTTCCCATTGTGTGTGAATGCTAATTTTTATTCGCTGTACAGAAAAGGCCAGCCAGTAACTGCCCAGAACTCCTGGATGGCAAAGATTGGGTCCATTCTTCCTTGGAACGCTGAAGGGATATAGGCATAAGGGTTTGTGGTATTTTGTTCACTTGCAATTGTTGGAATCCTAATTCGGTGCTACTGGATTAGGGCATGTTTCCATCAAAGTAAAGATCAAAAGCTCTCCTGTGGGGAAAGTCTCAATGTTATATCCAAAAAAGGTGACAACCGCATTTTACTGCCATCAAAATAACTTATTATCCGTGTCTGCGCAAACTACTCTGGTAGACACCAAATCCCAGAGGCTTCCTGATTCCACCACCCTCTGTTTTCTGCAGTCCCTTCCCTTAGGCTCTCCACCTGTGACTAAAATGGAAACCTTAAGCCGAAATCGGTTTGGCTCAGTGGATAGAGCGTCAGTCTGTGGACTGAAGGGTCCCGAGTTCGATTTAGGTCAAGGGCATGTGCATTGGTTGTGGCCACATCCCCAGTCGGGGGTGTGCATGAGGTGGCTATTTGATGTTTCTCTCTCACCGATGTTTCTAGTTCTCTGTCCCTATCTCTTCCTCTCTGTAGGAAATCAATAAAATATATTAAAAAAATAAAATGGAAACTTTAAAATAGTCACCTCTGCTGACACTGCTGCACGTCCAGAGGATGCTGGGTCTACCACCAGCGCCCATTACACAGTGCTGGGGCGGAGTCTTAGCAGGCGCTGTCCTCAACCACAGTGCTGAAGATTGCAAATACAAACACCGCTCAGGGTTCCACTTTCCAACAGGAAACATGGGGAGAGGTACGAATTGAGGTTTTGTACCATCAGCATGAGCCATGCCCAGGCCGGCTCTTCCTTCTCCCTTTCCTTCCCGCCCCGTCCCCCAGGCAGCTCCCATCGTGGCCCTGACACAGAGGTACTCAGGCGCCTCTCTTCCCAAGGGAAGAGGCCAGCAGCATCCTTTGGGATACCAGCCGGGATCGTTTTACATGCTGCCTTAGTCCGCCAGTTGCCTTGTGACATGTGTGTCTTTGCCCACACATATGTTTAAAGGCAGTAACTACTGTTTAAAAAGGTGTGTGACCACGCATCGGCTTGGGGGTGCCCGCTAGGTCCCCCAGCACACCGGTCCTCTGCTTCCCCAGCATGTCTTTCAGGAACTCCAAGGGCAGGTGGCTCTCCGCGTCCACCGGCGCCGCTGTCAGGCGGGGAGCCGGCTCCGTCCCCCGCGCACGCCGCTCCCCTCCTCTCCGCGCCGGCAGCCCGGACCCCGGACCCCGGTCCCCGAAGCAGCCGCGCGGGCGGTGGCCTCCCCGCCGGGCCGGGAGCCGCCTTTGCCCACACTCCCAGGGCGGTGGGTGCCGGGATCGGTTATTAATCTGTGCGCATCCAGAACGCCTTGTCAGGTGCTGTGGGAGGCGCTCCTCCGCCCGAAGCCCAGCCCGTTCGCGGCGGCCGGGCTCACACGCACCCGCCCCGCAGCCGGAGCCGCCGCGTCCGGTCCGCGTCGCCCGGGATTCCCGCCGCGGCTTCCCGCGTCCTCCCTCCGCGCTCCCGGCAGCAGCGCCTGGAGGGTGCGGCGCCCATCGCGGCCTGCGGGCCCCTCCGCGGCGGGGGCAGCGCTCACGCGGGAGTCCCGTGCGCCCACCCCAGGCTCGCGGCGGCGGCGGCGGCGGCGGCGGCAGGAGGCGAGCCCGGCGCTGGCCCCGCGGCGCCCGGATTGGCCTCCCGGAGTGCGCCGGCCGGGGCTTGGCTGCGGGAGGCGGCGAGAACAGGTGCACCGCCGCCCCATCGCGGCGCCGGGTCCGAGCGGCGGCCTCTGTGTCGGAATGCGGCTCCCCGGCGCCCCGCGCCCCGCGGCCCGGCTGCCCGGCCCCTGAAGGCGGCGGGAGGCCCAGCGCGGCGCGGGCCGGCGCCGGGGGAGCGGGCGGGCGCCCTGAGGATGCCGGCGCGGCCGGAGCGCGTGCGGGCGGCGGGCGGCGGCAGCGGACGCGAAGCCCCCGCGCCCCGGAGGCCGCTCGGCCGGATGCCCCCGCGCCCCGCCGCTCCCTGACCGGCCCGCGGCGCCGCCGGCTCGCCCCTCGCGCGCGCGCTCGCCGCCCCCTCCCGGCGTCCCCTCCCCCGCCCGCCGCTCCACCCCGCCCGCCGCCCGCCTCTCGGGGGGAGGGGCGTGGGGGCAGGGAGCCGCTTTGCATGCGGCCGCCGCGGCCGCTGCCTGCGCCGAGCCCGCCGCCGCCGCCGGAGCCCGTGCCCGCGCCCGGCCGGCGCGGCCCCATCCATGCCCCTGGCGCGGCCCCATCCATGCCCCTGGCGCGGCCCTCGGGGGGGCGAAGGTGAGGACCGGCTCCTAGGATGAGTGAAGGCGCGGCCGCCGCTGCCTCGCCACCGGGAGCCGCTTCGGCAGCCGCCGCCTCGGCCGAGGAGGGCACCGCGGCGGCTGCGGCGGCGGCGGCGGGCGGGGGCCCGGACGGCGGCGGCGGCGGCGGCGAAGGGGCGGCCGAGCCCCCCCGGGAGCTACGCTGCAGCGACTGCTTCGTGTGGAACCGGCAGCAGACGTGGCTGTGCGCGGTGCCCCTGCTCATCGGCTTCGTCGGCCTCGGGCTCAGCCTGATGCTCCTCAAATGGATCGTGGTGGGCTCCGTCAAGGAGTACGTGCCCACCGACCTGGTGGGCTCCAAGGGCATGGGCCAGGACCCCTTCTTCCTCTCCAAGCCCAGCTCCTTCCCCAAGGCCATGGAGACCACCACCGCGACCACCACCTCCGCCGCGCCCCCCGCCACCCCCGCCTCCGCCGGCGGCGCCGCCTCCTCCAGGACGCCCAACCGGAGCAGCACCCGCCTGACCACCGTCACGCGGGCGCCCACCCGCTTCCCCGGGCACCCCCGGGTGCCCATCCGTGCCAGCCCGCGCTCCACCACGGCGCGGGGCTCGGCGGCCCCCTCGACGGTCCCGGCCGCCACGGCCCCTTTCTTCAGTAGCAGCGCGCCCGGCTCCCGGCCCCAGGGCCCAGGGGCCCCGGGCACCCAGGCCGTGCCCTCCTGGCCCACTGCGGCATTCGCTACCTCCTCCTACCTTCACGACTCCACTCCCGCCTGGACCCTGTCTCCCTTCCAGGATGCTGTGGCCGCCTCCTCCTCCTCCTCCCCCACCGCCACCACCACCGCCGCGTCTTCCTCCTCCTCCACCACCACCACCACCGCCGCGCCGGAGACCAGCACCAGCCCCCCCAAATTTCGTAAGTAGACCCTGTGCTTGAACTCTGATCCACGGCTGAGTTTCCTCTTTCCTCCAGCTGCTGTCGTTCTCCCTTGCTGCCTGTCATCGAACACCCCCTCTTCTTCCCCCACCCATCACCCCATTCCGGGTTTGGAGCACTTTGTGAGATGGTGGATAGTTAATACCGGCCACCGGGGAGGAAAGGGCGCCTGCCTGTGTGGGGTGCCTGTGTGGGGTGGGGGCGGTGGGAAGCGGGAGGAGATGGCCAAGCTCCAGGGCCCTGCTCCACTGGGTCCCAAATGGGAGCACACCTAACTCCCTCCCAAGGGTTAACGCGGAGCGCAGCCCCCTCACTGCAGACCTGCTGGCCGGCTCAGGCTCAGGGATCTGGCTGCTTTGAAGAGCCGGGGAGGAAGCGGGGAAGGAGGGAGGGAGGGAGGGCCTTCCCAAAGGCAGCAAGCCCTTCCCCTGCCTTCAGGAGGGAGAGAAGAGCCAGTGCCAGCTGACCTGCACGAACCACCCGAACCACCCGGGGAAGTTAGGTCCCTGTGGGGCGGGGGAGGGCGTGGGCTGCTGATTTGATGGGGATGTTGGTGAGGAGAAGCCAGAGACACTTAGAGCGGCCCTGACCCGGGCTGGGATCAGGAAGGGTTAATTTGAAGCTATTGGGGGAGGTAGGGAAAGGGGGCGGTTCTCAGCAAAGGGCTAAACTGGTGCCCCCCCTCCCCCCGCCCCTTCTTTACCGCTCACCCGCCCATCCAGCCTGCCCATGGCCAGTCCTAGTGTGGAGATGGATTCTGTGATCGCGGAGAGTGAGTGGACTGGGGGGAAATGTGAAGTGAGCCCGCAGAGCTGCCTTCTCTAGGGTCCTGACAAGGAGGAGTGCTCTCAGCTCTGCCCAGCATTTGCTTTTCTTCCTTTTCCCAAAGGTGGGGGCGCGAACCTCCTCTCCCCGCCCTCTGTGCCTGAAAATATATAGGTGGAGTGGGACAGGGCTCTGTGCATTCAAGGATGACACCCTCCAGCCCTTTCCAAACAGGTCACACTGGGGATGTAGCATCTCCAACCTCTGCTTCCTTGCCACCAGTGTTGGCCGATTTGCCCATGTGTCCCTGTAAGAGGTGTGTATTTCTCTGTCTGTATGAAGGTTGTCAATGACTGATGGACACCCCATCCCTGGTCCCCACCTTGTTCTCAGAGCAAGGAAATCTTAGGGAACTCCTTCATCTGGCTATTGATCAGGATCTGGGAACAGTTAGTACAACCTGTGAAGGTTATTTAGGACAAACTCCCAGTCTGCCCGTTTAGGTTCTGTGCCAGGCCGTTCTCCCGAAATTGCCGGGGTGTGCTGTCTTCGTGGTGTATTTGGGTTTTGAGCCTCAACATCTGGGGGAAGGCAGAGTGCTCCTCAGGAGCTCTCCAATAGGAATGCCTGGGTTGGTATCAGTCATCGGGCAATTTCTCATTTCCCTGAGCTGTGGTCCTTCTTACTCTGAGTGTTAATCCTTGAAAACTTTCTTTTTTTTTTCTTTTTAAATTTAGGAGTTAGTGTATTTGTAAGTAAATAAAGAGAGAAATTCCCTATGCCATTCCTTATTCTCCTTTGGGGGGAAAAAAAAATAGGCTAGAAGATCAGCTGGGAGACAGGGAGAAGAGGCAGAGGAGGGAATCTGCCACAAACCAGAATGGCAGGAGAACCAGCCACTTGCCACTTCTCTCTCCTTTGGCTGAAGCAGTCATTGCTGGGAACGCGTTTTCTCAGGAGGCGTTCAGAGGCTGCTCTCAGCACAGCTAGCCTGAGTTTTGGGAAGGAATAAAGGATGTGCGAGTGTATGTGTGAACATTTGCAGTGGGTTGAAAATATATGTGTCTATTCTGAAAATCCCAGATTTTTAAAAAATCGTTTCTTTTGATACAGTGGATAGGAATAATGGATTATGGTGTACTTCTCCATCTCCTGTGTGGGGAGGGTGTGTGTGTGGGGGGAGCATGCACACGGGGGAGGAGGGGGGTAGAATGGGGAGGTGTTTCATGTTCTTTTTCAATTGGTTTCCTGGTGATACGTTCGGAGTTGTTTTTTTTTTTGTTTTGTTTTTTGTTTTGTTTTTTTTAAGCCCAAGGTAATTATTTCTATCCCTCCATACTCCTTTCCTGCATTCTGTAGGAGAGGATGGCAGACTGTTTAATAAGTAATGATTATTGGCAGGGCTCTCAGCCCCCAGGAAAAAGGAGAGGGATCTGTTCATGGTGTCAGTGTTCCCATAGACATATAAGCAGTACTTGTTTTATGCGTTATCTGAAGTCCAGGTCTTTTTCTTTTTTTAAACCTTTAGTAAGAAGTCAAATTAAGGGATAACATGCAAGAATGCAAATCCAGCAGACACTGACCTGCTTTGCATATATCAACAAGGGACATTTTAATGAAAGGAAGATTATGTGGTTTCCATAAAAGATAAGTTTAAATACATAGGTTGTATGGTAATATAAAGAAAAAGTATAGTTTAATTATTTTTTGGTCCAAAATTGCTGCATGATTAACAAACTGAAATGGAGATTTCATTGGAGGGATTTTACCACTGCTACTGTGGGCTGAAGAATGGCCAATCTGATGTTTACATTTTTCACTTGTTTTGATTATGTTACTGAAGTTCCCAGGAGAGAAATTCCTCTTTGGCCTAGCTCCTACTTCAGGGTTCAATGGGCTTTTTCTTTCCTTTTGTCTTCCTGTCTTTTCTTTCTTTCTTTTTTCTTTTTCTTTTTTTTTTTCTTTTTTCTTTTTTTGGAAATGAAAGCCATAGACTGGATTATAGCACCTATGGACAGCAAAGGATGATGCTCTGCTTTTTTTTTTTTTTTTTTTTTTTTTTTTTTTACACTAACCAATTCTTAATGGCCTGGGTGTTTGCTCTTGACTTGACCACCTCGAGGCCTATAGAATGGATGTCTTTTTGTTCATCTTAGGTCAGTCAGGAGGACTCTGCATAAAGGCAGCACAGCTCTCTGGAGCAGAAGAAGCTGGCTCACTGTAGAATAAACTTGCTGGTGGATAATAGGGTTTTTGCTAGCAGAAGCTGTTTTGCTGTGTGGAAGGCCCAGTTTAGAACTTGTTTCTAATGTTCTGAAGGATCAGAGGTAAGGAGATGTTGAACCTGAAAGGCAGAGGGAGGAGAAGGGTTTGGAATTCCACTCCTCTCATTTTCCCACCTTTAGACCAGGAGCTGAACCAGAACTTCCTCTGCTGCTGGGACCTCTTGGGTTCCCAGTTAGTTGCCCAGGATTTGCCTTTCCTTCAGATGTTTTAGAAAGAAGCATCATAAACATATTGCCACTAGTGGATTATTTTACCAAACGCATCTTTGAAGCATTTTGCATCTGAAAGTTTAGATTAGTTTACAAATTTTTTTCAAGTCAAGGAGAGATTCACTACAGACAGTAGAGAAACAGTGATTTTGATGTCACATTGGGTTGTGTTTTCAGACTTGAAACATCTGTGTAGAATGTTGTCCGTGCAAACATGAGTTGTTATTTTACTCAGCAAAATACACTAATAGGAGAAAGATCAGGGCCATTGGTGAAATTCACCTACAAAAGACAAAGAGCCGGTGTTAACAGGTGATGCTTTTGGAAGGTACATAATTAATTCCAATGAGGAAGATGGATCACAAATCTTGAATGGTGTACCTAGTGCAGAAATGGATGTAAGATATATCATTGATGATTAAACCTGATATTGAGATAACCTTTATATATAACCAAGTCTGTATAAATAAAACTTTACCTCAACGTGTTTTGTGATTTGAAGAGAGCCATAGACAACATGCACTGCTTTCTTCCCTCCTCCTTTTGAACATGTCTGGTCTTTCAATAAGAGTATTCCTGGTTGCTTTTATAAGCAGCTTGAGATATAATTTGTTTTAATAAACACACTCTAGTACATCGTCTTCTGTCTACGTGAATTGGGCCCTCGAAGGAATTTCAACACAGAAGGTACTGACCCCAATCATGCGTGGTAGCCAGAGTGAGAGGATTCGGAGCTCCAGATCAATATTTCTTATGGAATCCAATCGAGAGCTTTTTATGAGCACATGCTGCAACCCGAGTATGTTTTGATTTCCTTTGGCCTTAATACAGGATTATGAGACTTCTCTGCTTTAATCAATCGTACTGTACATTGTTCTCTTTAGACACTTAGGTTGTACTTTATGGTCCAAACGGAAGGAAAGGGGGCGTGGCGGGGACAGAACTGATAAGGCTGTTTTAGTTTGATCTCAGTGCGTTATGGCTGTGGCTTAAGCCTCCCTTTTCAGTCCTCCTGGCTGAGGTAAGGGGTTGGCAGTGCTCTTGCTAACTGAGAGTCCTCTCTGCAGGTCTGATGTGTGCGTCCACTCACCTTTGTGTTTCCCTGCTTGCCTTTTTCAATGCTCGCCGTTAACCATAAACTTTCAGAAAGAAAGAGAAACAAGCACACGAACAAACATAGCCGGTTTGTGGCAACCTCTCTCTGATACAGAAGAAAACAATGTTTCTAAATCCAGGCTGTACCATAAGCGCGCCCTGCAGAGTTTGAACCCAGGCCATCCTGGGTGGGCTGGTGTGTAGAGGAACAAGGTCTCTCTTCCCTCTGGAATGCTCGCCTCTTCCACCCCTTCCTCCCCTCCATGCCACAGTGGGGAGAGGCTGCTTTTCCTTTTGCTTATTTTGTAGAAGGTCTTTCCTCTTCCCCGCTCAGATCCAGTGCCAAACGCATCTCAATTTTCTATCTGGGATGTGGAAAATGGAACATGAAAGTTGGCCCTGAAATGTACAAGAGCAAGGGAAGAGCCATAAATCTCAGTCTGCAAAATGCATTTGAATTGCTTATGAATAGGGCTGAAATTCATTCTTCTCCCTCTGAATGTGTTTTTATCTGCAGACTCTTGTGTTTGGTGAGGCACAGGGCCCAGCGCGGGGACTGTGTTGACAAATTCCACTGAGATGTTGCGAGGTCCCAGGGGTTTTGCTTGTCTACAGGCGGGAAGGCTTCCTCTTGAGCATATATGTGGTGGAGGCAGGA